CTCCAACGATGAAAGATATCTCTCGAGATAGATCTTTATGAGCTCTATCCAATTGGCACCTCATTCATTCAATTTGGGTAAGTATTTTTCTGATAACTGTTACTTATAACCGTGACTGATGCTTTTTTTTAGTTAAAGCCATCGTAATTCCCTCATGCGTATTCCCCAACATGAAGACACAGTTCTCCAGATAGATCTCGACAATTCCTATCCGATGGACACCTTGTGAATCTCGTTAGTGCTTTTAATGGCCGATATAATTGCTAATTAGTGCCGAACTAATCTTTTTTCCAATAAAATCTTCGGGATTGGTGACGGAGTATTCTTCAACGTCGAGTCACAATTATCCTGATAGATCTCGACGAGTTCTACACAGTGGACGTGTTACTGCAGCTACGCCATCGGGTTACCAGGAAAATACAAAAAAGGTTCAAGATTCAAGGTTTTTCTTTCGAATTTTTTGATTTCAATTAGACTTATTTGTTTCAAAAGAAAAATTGAAAATGTTTCAGGCAGACGAAATTCTATGTCATTGATTGAAAAATACATGAGATGCATTCATTTGTATAGATAGTCGGATAATTAGTTATTTTCGGTCCTAATTCTAGAAAGCGTTGGAGAAAAAATGTTCATTTGCTGTTTTTTGCTTTAATGATCACAAAATATAACAAGAGGCCACACTGATTCCGTTGGCCCATTTTTTTAATTTCACGTACATGCGATGAGGAGAGGGAAAAGAATTTTTGTTTCGTGTTATTGTACACACGAAAGAGAAAGAACGAGAAAAATCGTTTACAGCATACTATAAAAAGAAGGTACCACACTAAACCTTTAAAGGTTACGATTTTGGTTACGAAATTGAAACCGTTTGAAGTTGCGTATGAACAAAAGTTTCATAGGGATTCTTCTCAGTATTCCTTGAAAAAAAGGTTTTGTGGTACGGCTTTTCTATTGCGTTCAATACACTGTTACTTTGTTGGTGCATCTATACTTGAAGACACATTCCAATATACGTAAAAGTCTGTCTGACCATCCCAGCTTTACGTACTATCTCATCTATATATTTCTAACTATGTAGCCTTAGAGCTAACGTTATACATGAATCTCTTTCGACATTTCCACAGCTCTGTCTGCCTACTCATACACATCCCTAAAAATTTAAATCTATACTTAATCTCTTAATTTCTATACCTAAACTTTGATATCCATCCCCAACCCATTATTCCTAGATCTAATCCTTAGATAAATGCGATGAGAGTGAGGAAGAAAGATGCACGATAATCCAATGAGGGCTTTTCCCCATCGGTTCTTTATATATATATATCGTGTACATACGGCGACAACAACGTAAACGATCTTTTGGATTATCGGAGCTTCGCTAATAAGATGTTTGCCAATAGGACATTCGGCAATGGCGAAAGTCCAGGGGGTATGTTGGCAAAAGCACCATAGACCTTTGCAAATCGAGAAAGTTCTATTGGTGAAGTTCCGGAAAACCAATGTTTTTCGTTGACTCTCAGTGCTGCAGAAAATAATATGAAACAAAAATACTTTTTTTCGCATCTCGTCATGTGTACATGAAAGAAACAAAACAAATTCAGCGACGGAAGCAATGCGGTCTCTTTTTGTTAGTTGCGCAGACTAAACGAAAAGAAGACAAAGCACAATTTTTTTCTCCAAGATTGCTAAGATTGGAACTAAAGATTAGTAATTATCCAAATACCGGTAAAAAAGAATTATGCGCATATGTTTTGTAATGGGTGTAATTAAATTCCATATACTTGGAGCGCTTATAAATTCAGTATAGAAAAACAAACTGATTGAAATCCGAAATATTGAAAGAAACACCTTGAACCTACGATCCTTTTGGCATATGCTTGGCGGTACAAAGGTGTGGCTTCAGTGAAAATATATGCATTTGATAGAACTTGCAGACATGTATGAGAAGCAGTATGTCTTGGTGTTCAATAGCACTCTTTAGCGAATAGCGAAGGTTTCAATTGAAATAAAAATGAATTATACACAAATTAGCAATTCTATGGGTCAGCAGGTGCACCAACAAACCTCACAAAACGTCCATCAGATAGAGCTCGCCGAGATCTGTTTGGAGAGAAGTGTCTCCAGGTTGAAGAGCACCGTGGAGCGAATCGCGACAGGTTTTATAGATTTTCCGGTAATTTTCGCTGTTTTTTTAAAAGTTTTTTCAGTTTTTTTGAAGTGTGAGAGGGCACTTTCGAAGAACAAAGGTGCCCAGCGGATAGGGCTCGTCAAGATCTACTTGATGAGCACTGTTGCGCGAATCCATTAAAAAAAATCGAATCTTGGCATAAGATACTCTACGTTGATTTCGTTCGATTTACCGTCAGTTAAAGATGAGTTAAGGTGATTTACGGTGATTTACGGTGATTTAGGACGAGTTAAAGTGATTTTTTTGATTTAAGGTGATTTAATTTTGATTTTTAGCTGAGTTAAATCAGCTTTTTCCCCCTTGGGGGTATTACATGTTTGAATATTTATTTTTACCTACTTCACATTAATACCAGACATAAGAATGTCCTTTAAATAGTATTTGATAGTTTCAAAACATTGGCAGAGTCTATCATCACCAAACCAACTGATGAAGCTGAGCAATCGAGTCATGACGTTATCCATATACTTGATTAAACAAATCCGTCCTGCTAAAAAGAAACATTCTAACTTTAAATAAAACTTGATTGGAAACGGTTGTGAAAAGATTTAAAAATAAATGAGACATTGTAACTCATCGCAAGTGTCTATCTCAGTTTGTAATTTGAAGATTTGCATTGCTTTCTTCTCGTATAAATATCCTAGGACCCTGATCTCGATGTACAGAAACTTGAGCAATTCAGAAAGGATCTCTCCTAAAAAGTCATGATGTTTAAGATATAATGATAGAATATGATAGAAGAAGTTGTACGTGTGATTATATATCATCGCTTGATATAGTATGAATATTTTTAGTAGAAAGGACAGTAAGTCTTTTTTAATTTTACAAGAATAAAAATTAAATATAGCTAATTTGCTAATTAAATAATGGTTTTTGTCCTTGCATAGATTTTGATAGAAATATTTTCCGATAAAAATATTTATCAGTTCAACTATTATCGATCTCAGTTGCAATAACAATACAATTAATATAAATATTTAATCCATCTAAAAAGACGATAAAGTTATAGTTGAAAGGTCGATTACATGTAAAAGTTTACTATCAATAAAGACTCTTCCCAACTTATATCAAGCAAGCATCAAAAAGAAAATGTGGACGCTTCTCTAATTTCTAAGAAAAGTACGACAAAATTCAAATTCAAAATGAATATTATAGTTAAACTGAAGATCATAGAAAATAATATCATTTTCAAAGATTTCCGGTATTTAATGCGATGCGAAACTCGAATCGGATCTACTGAAAATCTTGAACTCGAAGAAACATTAAATACTTTTGATGTAGACATAATGAAATTCATCACATGGAAAACTCCATTCAAACTTAACTGCATTTTCTGCAAGAACGATTTTGATTGAGCGATTAATGATATCTATGATTCATTATCTATAATCAGTTGTGACGGGACATAGATGTGGCTAGTGTGTGCTTATGACGCCGTTTTAATTAAGGCTAAATACCAAGTCCCACTACATTGAATTGGTATACTGAAAAATATAATCTATATTTTACTTTGTCCAATCGAAATTCGATAGGAGAAATCGAACAAAAATTGTATCATATACAGAGTTTTATGTAACTAACACCGTTTCAACGAGTATCAGGCGAAATTCTGTTCTTGAGATAATCGTGACACAAAAATGCAGCCTTTGGACGCGTATGTGACGAACTGCATAAATCTTATACTTCTCATTGTATTAATAAGACTCAGTATTCGATAATTACTACAACTGCATTGGTACACTTGAAATGAATAATTATACTTGAACTTTATTAAAATCGATGAAATAAAAATGTTCGCATACAATATCAAAATTTTAAAAAAACCTATCACTTGTTCAATAAAAGAACTATGAACATACAGAATAATTGAATATAAGCTTTAACTGAATAATAATCTATTTGTATAACCGTGAAAGAAAATTTTCACCTGAAGCCAACAGAAAAGATGTAATTACAAGTATACAATAGATTCGCAAAAAAGCAGCATACGTAGTACATGCAAATATATTGATAAAAAAATACGAATACGAAAATTTTTCACCTTTTTTTTTTTGTCTGGTATTGCTCATTGTAGATGCAACATTGTCGGTGACGACAATTGTATTATTTTGCTATATTGAAATATACTGTTTACTTTAATCTTTGTTTTCGTTGGATGCATCAAGTTATTGATAGGTTTCTGTATTTGCTTATTCTGTTTTTCTCTCAACTATTCTATTTAATTCTAATGAGCGAAATGACAGATCCACCCACTTTCAATCGAATAGTTGTTATTTTTTTTATTAGTCATATTAATAGAGTTGTCTGTCAAAACCGAGAACTATGTTGATGATGAATACTCATCTGTTGATATAAGCGTGACAAGAAAGAAAACTATTTCTATACACCACTTGTTGCATATGTTTTTTCAGTTTTATTTAAATACGTTGATGAAGTGCTGAACTACTTGGTATCTCATATTACGTCAGAATCATCTGTATTTGGATGTAATGAATACATTCACATCAATGCTGTATTTTAATCACAGAATTACATTTTTTTTTTCATATGAAAAGAAGACCTACGATATAATTTATTATATTTCGATGAACAAGACGAAATTCATATTCCCACAATATTTCTTTATTTTATTCGATACTGCGATGAAAATGTTTATATAATTGAATTGTTGAGAAGGCAAGATAAAAAATATAAAGCATCATAAGATATTACTTTATAAAAATAATATGTGTTTCAGAAACATACAGTCATTGAATGAAATAAATATACGAAAAATTTATCCTCTCTTTTTTTCACCTTTCGGTCATATACATTAAGTCGGATACAGTCCTGCCATTTTCTTTCGTACAGTTACAGACATTGTTGTAGTGCAAGTAGGACACGTTAGGTCATTGGAGCGACCATCACCATTATCAATAACCATTGTTGGACGATGATACAATGGAGAACCAGCTCGTTGTGTACGAACATTCATGATTGGTGGAGCAATTATCATACCATCGGGTCCTGTTGGTACTACAGGTAAAAGACTTGGCACTATTGGATGAACAGTCGGGCTGTTTTTAGCTTGATTAATCAGAAAAGCTGTGCGTATATATATTATTATTTGAATCAGACATAAAACAAACATCACACAACCAGCTCCTAACTGTCCTTCGATTAGTGGTATTTTAATGTTGTTAAAATTTGATGTTGAATAAAATACGCCGCGTGATGAGCCTGTACTATTACATGTTGACGTTGTAAAGAAACATGCGCTAGTATTGATTAGAAAATAAGCATCAAAACCAATGACACAAAGCGAGAAAAATAGAGCCAGACATTGTGATAAAAGTGAAAAATTAGCACAGCCACGTTCACGACAACAGTATGCTGGAAAACAAAAAAGATCAACATAGAAAATTCAAATAAATTTAGAAAAAGCTGGAATCAATAATTACATACATGAACCTGATTGTGAAAATGATGCAACAAGAAAAAATAAACCGGCCCAGAGACCAACATAAATTGTCACAGTGATAATATCAATAAGAATGCTACCGACTTCGCATCCAATAATGATAATGGACAGCACAATTTGAAGAAATGAAATTGTACCAGAAAGACTTGCTGGAAACTTTTGTCTCCATTCGGATACTGACGGTGGAACTATCGGAGGGACAATGGAATTGGTTTTTGCAGAAGCTGTCGCCATATTATCAATGGTGACTATGACTTTTTTTTCACACTTATTTAACAATGCTTTCTTCTTCAAGTAAACTATTGACTTATATATATATATATATATATATAATACTACTCCTCGGTTTATTTACTTTTGCTATTTTTTTTCTTTTTCTAATTTATAGATGCTAAAAGGCTTCTTTTTTTTGTGTTAACCAAGTAAAAGAGAAAAGAAATTGTCACATACACAACCGTATGATTGTCAACATTGTTATCGAATTATTTTCTTTTTGTTTGATTCTTGAGACTCATACGATTGAAAAAAAACCAAAAAGAATGTTTTGCAATATACAATTATTTGTTACTTACAATCATGCAGTATAATGAAAATTTGATTTGAGTTTTCTTTTCAAAAATGCATACAAGATAACATGAAACATTTTGCTCCGCTATCTGGGTGCACAATGGAAACGGAAGTTATTCTTATTTTGTTTTTATTACATTCAAGTTAAAAATTAATTGTGTCTTTTGTCTGAATTGGTGACGAGAAAATATGAACAAGAAAAACAACGGCTTCATACATTACTACCTTTGGAATTTTCTCCTATTCAAATGATTGTCTATGTCTTAACTCATTTTGATACATAAAAATAAAAGCAAATATAGACAATACATTGAACGAGTCGTATTCATAAGTTATTGTTAATCACCGTCGTGAGCTATAGTGGCCATACACTAGATTAAGTAGTGATCGAAGTTATTGTTTTGCATTCATCTGTCTTTCATAGTGACATCATTTGTTTGTACTTGTGAGATTATTTACATACGCTGATAGAACTCTTTGTTTTCCGAAATTGCGCTAAAATGATTTATATTCTGACGTAACGAATACCATCCATATAAATTCTCTGTTTCAATCATAGAATTACACTTGCCTATGTCAAAAAAACAAGTTACATGTAATTTAGTGCTCTTCGATGAAGAATACAGAATTCCTATTCTCACTTTTCTATAAAGTTTTATCTGCTCTTCGATCACTCGATGAAAATGTTTATATAACTAAATAGTGAAGACGATAAACCGAAAAATACAACAAGCATCATAAGATATTAATTTAAATAAAAAGATCTTGTTTTAAAAACAAACGCTCATTTAATGAAATAAATACTGAAAAAAGAAGTCACTGTTATTTTTTCTTTCTCGCCGTATAAATCAGCTCGTTTATGCTCATGGTTCCTTCTTTCTCACAATGACAGACATTGTTGTAGCGCACGTTGGACATGTTAGATCATTGGAACGACCATCACCATTTTCAATAACCATTGTTGGACGATGATACAATGGAGAACCAGCTCGTTGTGTACGAACATTCATTATTGGTGGAGCAATTATCATACCATCGGGTCCTGTTGGTACTACAGGTAAAGGACTTGGCACTGTTGGATGAACAGTCGGGCTGTTTTTAACTTGGTTAACGCGAAAAGCTGTGATTATATATATTATTATTTGAATCAGACATAAAACAAACATCACACAACCAGCTCCTAACTGTCCTTTGATTAGTGGTATTTTAATGTTGTTAAAATTTGATGCTGAATAAAATATGCCGCGTGATGAGCCTGTACTATTACATGTTGACGTTGTAAAGAAACATGCGCTAGTATTGATTAGAAAATAGGCATCAAAACCAATGACACAAAGCGAGAAAAATAGAGCCAGACATTGTGATAAAAGTGAAAAATTAGCACAGCCACGTTCACGACAACAGCATGCTGGAAAACAAAAAAGATCAACATAGAAAATTCAAATGAATTTAGAAAAAGCTGAAATCAATAATTACATACATGAACTTGATTGTGAAAATGATGCAACAAGAAAAAATAAACCGGCCCAGAGACCAACGTAAATTGTCACAGTGATAATATCAATAAGAATGCTACCGATTTCACATCCAATAATGATAATAGCAACAACGAATTGCACAGAAGCAAGTATACCCGAAAGAACTGCTGGAAACTTTTGTCTCCATGGGGATAGTTGTGGTTGTATTATTGAAGGAACAACTTGACGGATCGTTGCGGAAGCTGTCGCCATATTATTAATGATGACAATGACTTTTTCTACAAAACTTATGGGAAAATGCTGTCTCAACTAAGTATACTATTGAATCATATATATATATATATATAATCAAACTCGTCTCAATTAATTCTTCTATTTGTCAATTTTTTCGACCTCATGAAAACTGCATGGGTTCATTTTTGCTTGTGCTTACTAACGAAGAGGTTTTTTCTGTGTTTTTTTTTCTTCATAATCCTGTCCAAGAAAGAAAATGATTCCATAGACAACCGTATAATTGTTAACATTGTTATTATTTTTTTTTCTATTCTTTTTCGAGCTTCCATATAATTAAAAATAATAAAATGGAATAATATGCAATATTCAATGATCTGTTACTTGCCATAAGAGAGTATGATGCAAATTTTGTTTGATCTTTTCTTTTAAAATACGTGCAAGAGAATGAGAAACTTTTTGTTCCGTTATCTGAATGCACAACGGAAATGAAAATAATTGCTATTTTCTTTTTGTATGTAGGCAAAAAGACGTCTTAAGTGTAGTCTGAATTTGTTGCGTAAAAATTTGAATAAGAGAAATAGACCTTGCATACGTCGTTACTTTCGAAATTTTGAATTTCAAAGTCTTCACGTATTTTCTTGTTCGTTTTTGTTCAGAGAAGCAAATGAAAACATTGACTTTTCTTTAAATAAGTCGTATTTGCAAGTTATTGTTGGCTACAATCATATACTATAGTGGGGTGTACACACAGTTATTTATTGCTCGGGGCAAAACGTTTTTCCTTTCATAATTACTTTTCTAGTACAGAATCTATTTACGTATTACGCTTCCTATTATCTTTTTTTTTTCATTGAGAAAAATTTAATTCTGAAAATGATAGGACAATTCCAACTGATGTCTAATTAAAAACTACGATACATTGCTACTGAATTGACGTTATGTTTATTTTAGTTAGTTGCAGGCGAATATCGTTAATCTTTTTTTTTCGATTATGAACGAATATAAATGTAAGACTTATGGCATATAATGGCTTATTTCATTAAATGATTTTCTTCGATTCCGAAAAAAAAACATTTTGGTACTAATCTATTTGATTATTCGATGCATTAGTCGAGTTTTTAATGAGTGTATCGTTACTGGATGCGTTGAAGTAGATTGTGCCGTATCAATCGGCACATCTCATATTACTTATTTTGTAAATACAAGTTCACGAAGGGTGAACTGAATCAGTAAAGATTTAAGTTGTGAGAAATCAACCAATGAAGATTATTTTTTAAGTAGCGATATATTATCTTAATTAAATTATTCTTTTTTTTGATAAGCCAATGTTAATAGATTTAACTTTATTTTACTTAATTGTTATATTGATGAAAAAAGGGTACGAGTTTTGCTGCTTTAGTTTTTATTCAATATGTGTCATTTATAAAATGAATTAAACTGACAGCAACATCAAAGCGATGAAAAAGATCAGAAGTGATGAAATGTAGAAAACATGATAAGCAAACAGCTTCAATACTAGGATGATTATTGAGAAAGATAGATAAAAGAAAATGGACCGCCCTTACAAATCAAAAGGGCAGTATGATATGGTCGATTTTTTATGCATATTAGTGGACAAGAAGCGAAATAGAAATATCGTTCATCGAATAGTGTGGACACAATGGCCGGTCATTGTTTCGAGCTTGTATATAATGAAGCAGTGAACATTCGTCCACTACATGAGACATGCTGTTTCGTTTTATCATCTTCGTTTCACTTATATTTACGGCTAATAGCAAACCAATTTCGCCCCTGAATATAACCAAGGCTGTTAAGAAAACAACAGCTGTTGCAACTGAAACAACAACTCTAAAAACAACTACAGTATTGATTACATCAGCATCAACAACAACAACAACAACACTCGGGCATTATGAAGAGGAAGTTACAACAACAACAACAACAACATCATCCACATTACCAACAGACACCATTGAAGTGAATAAATCCTATGAATTTCAATCGAATTTCAGTCGTAATAATGATGCAGTTTTCATTTCTCTCAATTCCAATGCTTCAGATTCGTTCGTCTCCATAAATAATACATTTACTCATAGCCAATATGATCACTATCCATGTGAAATTTTATTCAATGAACATTCAAACAATGCAAATCAAATATTAAAAACAACGGTCATCATTAATTTCAATCGATCACTAACACGTGATATGGCTATTCAGCTCGGTGATCGAATGCTTGATATCGTCGATCTTTTAACGACAATTCAATCGATAAATCATCAAAATATGACAGTTGAAACTGATTCATGATCGTTTCTGTTTTTTTTCTTCTCTTATTGCATGTTGATAATAGATTGTTTAAAAAAAAAGTAAACATCATTATTTCATCTCAGCCGTTGCAATCGTTTTTTCGAAATTTTCTGGTCGATATGTATATAGGGATTTTCAATACGTGTCACTTCTCATCGTTGGCAGTTCGACCTCTTGTAAAAATAAAACAGACATTTTAAAAAATGAATTTCACTGGTATTAATTCTTAGAACATCTTGTTTTATTTACATTGCTTCTAACAAAAGTTAACATCTGAGAAAAAGGCGGAATAAAAAAGCCTCGTACAATACCGAATGGTCTTGTTTTCCTTGTCTCTATGAATAATTATTACCGTAAGTCATTGAAAACACGATTACGAATATTTAAATACATTGAAGATATTTTTCAAGTAAAATTTCGGTCTATGATAATAGATCAATGACGGCTATATCAAGTATCTAGACATATGCAAATTAATTTATGAGCTGCTAAAGTAAAGATTCTTCTTATAAAATAGCTCATGAAGCACTCCACTTGTTTTATATAGATTTGTCACATCTATGGAAATACGTAGACTAAAGATATTTCAAACAATCTGAATTCGTCGGTATACGAATAAGTTCTACCTATAAAGGATCATCTATCTAATGTCACAAATGTACGTGAACATTGAAGGAAAGTACTGATTATTGTTCATAAAAGACAAATAGACCCACGTTCTTTTTACATTGCTAGGCTCTGTGTGCCTGCATTTGACATAGAATGCCATACAGATAGACGTCGCTACTAACCACTGGAATAATATTATTTGTGTAGTTAAGTTAAGCATTCGTTTGTAGTTTTTACCAATCGAAAATTGTATTACTTTCAGATTTGCGCAGAGCTATAATACTAGTTCATCTGTAGTTTATTGATAAAGATGCTAAAAGCTGTTCGTATTTTTTCTCGGCAATCACCAGTGAATCTATTGCGAAGGTAAATTCATTTAATGTTAGAATTCTATAATTGTAGTTTCTGTAAATAATCAGATTGAGTCATACTGACAATTCATCAATAGATAAACCGACTCGTGCAGCAAGTCTTGGACGCGATTCAACATTTCCAGCAGCTTATAACTTTCCTGCTTTATCGAAATCGCCCTTATGGTTACCAGAAGTTAAATTTGCTGTACCTGATTCAAAGCGATACAAAACAAATGTCACAACGCTTGATAACGGTCTTCGAGTTAGTATTTACATTATTTGTTTCGGCATGATTTATCGATTTGTCTCCTTTTACTTTTGAAGGTTGCGTCGGAGAAACTTTTTGGTGATTTTTGTACAGTTGGAGGTATTTGAAAAAATGTTTTTATTAATTTTTTTTTATTAACTAATTCTATCATAGTAATTATCTCTGCGGGACCAAGATTTGAAGGAAAATATCTTAGTGGTGTTTCACATTTTCTTGAAAAATTAGCATTCATGGTAAATGTGAACTAATTCAAGCATATATATTTCATATTATTCAATGAAACATGTTTTTTAGTCGACTGATAAATATCAAAGTCGTGATCAAGTTATTGAAACATTACATGATGTGAATGCCATATGTGACTGCCAAACATCTAGGTAGCTAGAAAATTTGTTCGGCAAAAAATGAGAATATAATATTTTTTTCTAGAGATATTACAATCTATGCATTGTCTTGTCGAACAACTGGTGTTGAACGTGTCATTGAATTACTATCTGAAACAATTTTTCGTCCGAAATTTTTACCAGAAGAAGTAATGAACAATCTGTTTTTTACTATTAAATAGAATTTTTATTCATAGATCGAATCTGCACAAGCAGCTGTTTTCAATGAAATAGATGATTTAAAAAATCGACGATATGATCCAACACCAATTTTAACTGATATGATTCATGCCGTAAATAGTGTTCTTATTTCAATCACTAATGAAACTATTGTTCTCTTCATGTTAGGCTGCCTATGGAAATAAAACGTTAGGTTTACCAAAATATATACCATTGGACAATATTTCTCGAATAGATACATCCATGTTAAAATCATTTATGAAAGAATTTTATAGGCCAGAGCGCATGGTACTCGCTGGTGTTGGCATTGATCATCAACAGTTGGTTGATTTAGGAAATAAATATTTTTCGGTACCAAAAAGTGATACTATGAATATCGATGAAAAAGCTGCTGAACAAAATAAAGCCGTGTGGACTGGTGGAGCTATTATGGTAATTAGCTTTTTTCTTTCATGCTAAATTGACTCTGCAATATAATGAGAATTGGAATTTCTATCAGTGGAATATGTTTACGCATAAATTCCTGTTGCCTCCATAAAAAAAAGCTAGAAGTAAACGGAATATTGGAAATCGAAGGCGTGTAGTTTTATAAGAAAATAAATATTATTTGCTGTAACAACTCCTTGCGATTCTATATAACTTTGATTTATTTTGTTGCTTTTGCCCATTAGAGTTTTTGCTATTTGATAATGATCTTTATCTTTCGTCTCTTTGTAACATTGCGATAGCCTGAAAATGTGAATGTTAACGTAAAATTCACACAAAGCTGTATTTGATTGAATCGCATGCCGACACATTGAAGTTTGTAGGAAGAAAACTGGGAAGCATGCTCTTACATTGCGAACTATAGGAGCAATTCTTATTTGTTACTTTAATAGAAAAACTCATGTTAAAGATTTCTTGATAGTATCAACTAAGTATTTGAATCATTTTTGTATATTTTCGCTTTGATAGGAAGAACGTGATCTTAGCCATTTATCATTTGGTGCTGATCCTTTACCAGAAAATGTTCATGTTGCACTTGGATTTGAAGGTAAATCCGATTGTTCATCTTATTTTTTAAATAAAACGAACTCACCCAATTTTTTTCTCAAATAGCACCGTGTCATAAGGAAGAACATGACTTCGTTTCAACTTGTGTATTAAGTCAAATGCTAGGTGGTGGTGGTTCATTTAGTGCTGGTGGTCCTGGTAAAGGACTTTATTCACGTTTTTATTTGAATGTTCTCAACAGGTAATTGGAATCGAAATAAGCAAGTCGAACAAAAAATCTTCGTATTCAATTTAGAAATGAACAAATTAAAACAGCTGTATCTTACAATCAAGCGTATTCCGATTCTGGATGTTTATATTTTCATTTCGGTGGCGATCCATCATATCTTCGTAATATGATTGATGTTGCCATACGTGAAATAGGTTTTCTTGTTTCTGAACGACCTGGATCAGTTGAACTCGAACGAGCTAAAAAACAATTACAGTCCATGTTATTTATGAATTTAGAACAACGTCCGGTTGTTTTTGAAGATATTGCTCGACAAGTTCTCTCAGTTGGAAAACGTCAACAAGCTGATTATTATTACAATCGAATAGAACGTGTTCAAGCCGATGATGTCTATGAAATAGCGCGGCGAATATTTAGTAAACCACTTGCTTTAGCTGGTCTTGGTAAAAGTTTGGATGCAATGCGCTCCTATACACAAATATCGGATACAATCCAAAGACAACTCTCAGCTAAAACAAGATGGCGTATCTTTGGCTAAATACGATTGTTTCTTTTTCTGTTGTAGGCAAATTTATTTTTGCTTTGTTTTTCATTCATTTCAGTAACACTGAAGAATAAAAAAAGTGAAACAAATATGTTAAGTTAGAATGTCGATTTTTTTTCTGCTTCAGATGCCCTATTTATCAGATCGGCAATATGGTCTTGTTTCTCATGGACGTTTATTAGTAAAATTAAAAAATTCTTCTTCAATCACACGACGACTTAAATTAGGTCAAACATTAAACATTCATCGAGGTTGTGTAAATACAATATGTTGGAATGAAAATGGCTCAACAATATTATCAGGCTCAGATGATCAACATTTAATTGTAACGGATCCATATACAACAAATATTTTAACAAGTGTACATAGTGGTCATAGGGAAAATATTTTTTCAGCTAAATTTTTGCCTGAAACAAACGATCGTCGAGTTGTTTCATGTTCAGGTGATGGTATTATATTTCATACAAATTTCGATCGACCTAATAATTCACATAGCAATGAGGGTTGTTTTACGTGTCATGGAGCAGCAACTGCCTATGAAGTACGAGTTATTCCTCGAACACCAAATTTATTTTTTTCATGTTCTGGTAAATGTTTTATTTTTTTCTTGTTCAAACTTAAATTATTTTCTATTCAGACGATTGCACAGTACGATTGTATGATTTGAGAACAAAAAGTAATTGCTTGAAAGCCCATTGTAATGACGATGTTATCATAAGAAGTAAATGGGGTATTACATCAATTGATATTAATCCAATGAATCCAAATGAAATTGTTTGTGCTTGTTCGGATTCAGTAAGTCTATCGATAGGAAATGATTAGAACATAGCTCAAGTCGAAAAGGTTTTGCTGCCATTAGCCGTTAAATAAATGAAGATGCGAAATATCGTCTATAGATACAAATTATTTCTAATTTTTTGAACTAGTACACTTTCTGCTAATGACCAATATTATTATGTTGAACGCAACATTTCAGTGATTGAAAACAATGGAAAAATGTTAGATTTGATAGAAATTCCAAAATTGTTTTATTTTCGAACCAATTACTTTTTGTCAATGGACACTGAAAAGTCTTCATGAATAAATTGTATCGAAATCTAAAAGTTATGGTATATCTTTGCCAACTAGGAATTTTTTGAAAATCTTTGTCCTTTTGTAAAACGAACGAAATTTGTCAAATAGCAATAAAATAAAGGCAAATTAGTTATATTTTTATGCGAATATACAAATTAAGTTTCACATATTGTGAGAAATTTTCTATTATATCTTAGACATGGATCCTGAACGGTAAGGAGTTTCAACTCCGACGCTTAAAATCAGTGAAAGAACTCGCAGAGAAAGCTTACCACGTCTACGACTCAATTCAATAATTTTATTTTTCACTTTTCTAGTCGGTTCGTCTGTATGATCATCGAAAACTTTCAACTCAACTATCGTTGGATGCATCAGTATTTCGTCGAGGTGAAGTATCCATCAATGGTCTTATATCTCGTTTCGTATTAAGGGATCGTAAAGAAAAACGTCCATCACGTATAACATCTGTTGTATTTAATCAACATGGCACAGAAATTTTAGCTTCATATTCATCAGAATCTCTGTATTTACTTGATCCAAAACAAACAGCATCACAGGAACTAAGTCAAGCACGTCTTTCTGAACATCGAAATGAAAAACGCGCAAGAGAAAATACAAATGAAAGTAAACCAACAGTAAATGAACCTTCGTCACAAGACGACAAGAAAACATCACAATTTAAAAGATTACGTCTTCGAGGCGATTGGAGTGATACAGGTAAATTGAATCGTAAAATCAAGTTTTTCTTTGTCTTATCTCTGCAATTAAAAGGTCCTGATTCTCGTCCGATGCATGAACAAGAATCTCAAACATCATCGAATACTAATAATAGTGAACAGCAGCAAGCAGAAAGCGAGCAACAGCATGAACCACCACCACCACCACCACCACCACAACAACAACAGACACCTCGAAATCGAAATATACAAAATATATTTATGCAACGTATGAGTGATATTTTAACACAATTAGTCACGTCTAATGAAACAGAAAATGAAGGACAACAGCCAGCAACAACTCCAAATAACAGCAATGATAATAATAATTCAACACCGACTATCACTGAAGTAAATACAGATAATGAAACTACATCAACATCGACAATACCCATTGTGCAATCACCTCCATCACCTACATCTAATGAGAATTCTGAAAGTACAACTACAACTACGAACGAACCGAACAGCAGTCGAGAGGTTCATAGTCTTTTGTTCTTAATGAAAATTTTCATTGGGGATTATATTTCTAGCGGCTTGGGTTTTTTGATCTTTTGTTTGGAGGAAATCGCCGAAATAATGATTTAGAAGAAGAGGACGAGGAAGATGATGATGATGATGATGATGATGATGATGATGATGATGACAACAATGATGATGACGAAGAACACAGTATGGACGATGAGGATGCTAATGTAAGATTCTGAAAGCGTTTTTCTGTTTTATGCATATGTAGAATTATTTATGTTTTATGATTTAGGAAGATAATGAAAATTCTCAAGCATCCTCAACAGCAACAGATAATGTTGCAGCATCAGGACGCGCTCGGCGACCATTAATGACTTCGAAATGGGATCGCATAATGAAACGTCGTGAAGCTGAACGTCGAAATGAAGAAAATCATTTAAAAAATGTTCCTAGCTTAGGTTTAATTAATTCATACGATGGTCATCGTAATGCTCGTACAATGATTAAAGAAGCAAATTTTTGGTCCGATTCTTACGTTATGTCTGGTTCGGATTGTGGGTAAATAATTTTTATCGAAAGAAAATAAATGAATATGCCGAATGTAAAACAAAACAACTATTTATTTTAGACATATATTTATTTGGAATAAATTTACCGGTAAAATTGTACGAATTATACAAGCTGATGAACATGTTGTTAATTGTGTACAACCACATCCACTGGATTATCCGATACTAGCATCAAGCGGAATTGATTAGTAAGATCAAATTTTTTTTTCAAACGGACAATTGTGTTCTTCGAATAGAAATCTAGAGACTTTAAAATTCATTTTTTATGACTTTTCTTCATGATTCCGACAAATTAGAAGACGTCGGTCAATGGTGATTCTTAGCATTAAAAAAAGAGAATGAAGAGCATTAATCGGAACAAACATCACACTATTCGCAATAGTGTAGTTCTTCGTGATTCAATCCGCAGCATTGATATTCAAAATGTGAAGGATGACAATTAGGAATTTATGAACTAATTGTTTCTCAGCTAATCAATATCAGTTTTTATAAGTGTATCGGGACATACCATAGATGAAAGCAATGGTCGCCGAGAGAACAGCTATAGTTTCCAAGAGATTTCTCTGTACTACATAAGTTAAAGAACATTAGTTACTCCTAAAAGAGTTGCGCTAACAATGGTTTTTTTTCCATATCAATTCGTAACATTGCTTTATTTTAGTAATATAAAATTATTTTCACCTTTGGCTGAAGCGCCAATCGATGATAGTGAACTTATACAAAGTACAATAAAACGCAATCATGAGATGATGAAAGAAACATCGAGTACAATAACTGTACCAGCTACTTTTATGTTTCGCATGTTAACATCATTTTATCAATTACGTCGTCCTGAAGGATTGTTCGGATTAGACGATGAAGACGAATCAACCGAGTGACTTTTACCAGTTTTTCAGTTTCTTTTATACTCATATACATTTTTTTTTTGCTTTTTGTGAGTGTATTTTCTTATTTAAACAGCACAAATACATGAAATAATAGAGTTAAAACAGTTGAACTCAATTGATGTTACTAATAATGTGATAGAAAGTTTAGTTCATCTTTATATTACTGCAAGATCTAGACAGTGCTTTTGAATTCAAATATAAGACTCAATCGTTTGAAATTTACAACAAAGTTTATTATATGAAATAATATAAATATTTGTTTCCTAAAAAGAAACCACCGAAAATTTCCTCAGGCGATTCTTCAAAAGTCTCCGAAATTTATTGGTTCTTGGTAGTTTTTTCGCACTAATTGTAAAAATCACAAAAACTTAGATTATTGACATATAATAGTTGGCAAACTAAAAAGCATGTTAGTTCACTTCCTCATTCAAAATTAAAGCAACTCTATTGTATGCTCATTTATAAATACCACTCTAATAGTTCCTACAGAAATATTTTCAAAAATAAATTGTATTAGTTTGGCTATTGAACTGATCACCATTAATGATTATCTTGAAAATTTCTTTATCAACTACGATTTTTTGTTTTCTTTTATTATTCTTTTTTTATCTTGCTCTCATGTTGTTTTATACAAGAAAAAAACAAAATAATTGATGGATTAAAAAAAACGGTAACATTGATAATAATACCAATTTTCAATTGTTTAATTCTTGTATGCACGACTAGCTCGTCGACCACGAGCTTTTTCAAATTTACGACCTTTTGCTCGTACTTTTGGTCTTGTTGTACTATGGCGAGCACCAGGTGGTCGTCCTAAAGTGATAATAAAAAAAATATTTATTCACAAAAAAGAAAATTTAAAAGTTAACATACCAAAGTATCGGTTAGCTTTACGTGCTTTTCGTGGACCTTGTAATAAAACAGTACTTTTACCTTTTGGTGTACGTAGTGCTAACTGATCGAACGTTAAGATTTCACCACCAGCAGCAAGAATTCTTGCTCGTGCACCTTCCGTTACATGTAACGAACAAACAGTGAGTTTAGGTACTTCATAAAGTCGTGCATCATCGGTTATTGAACCAACAACAACAGCTGTTTTATTCTCACGACCTTTTAAATAGAAAAGAAAAATTGTTAAGAAAACAAATAAACTTTAAATGAAAAAAAACTGTAAACCTTTCTTTTTCATATGACGAACAAGACGTGATAGTGAAAGTGGTGGTCGATTTGTATTCGACATAAATAAACGTTTCAAAATAATTTTGTTAAATTTTGCACCAGTACGACGTGCCAAAAATCGGTAAAGTTTAACGAGTAAGAGCAAATATAAATTTTTTGAACGTGGTGCTCGTCGTACGGCTTTACGATCGTAGCGATGGTCAAGATCGACACCCATTATAATGGTCTAGTCTGTTGAAAATGAGCGGTAATCTACAAGATAAGCAAACAAAAATATAATAAATTTCCAAAACTATTATCAAAAAGATGAAAGATTTTTTCTTGAAGGGAATCTACGGATGTGGACAAAAGAAATCGAAGGAAAAAACGATGTAGATTTTAATTTGAAATTGATTTATCGGGACTAGCGAAATTATTGGTTGCATTGGTTGAGTTAGCCGAGCAAAAACTACTTATTGATGGACCAGAAGCAAGAATCGTATCATCATCTTCAAATTCATCATTGATTTCTTTTGATATATCCTGATAAGATTGATCGAAATTACTATCACCAACGAAAACTGTTGATGTTTCTTCAGGAAATTTTTTCGGTGTTGAAAAATCGTTGATTCTCGTTTCAGTATCATCGTCATTGAATTCATCGTGAACAGATAGCACCGATGAGTCAAATTGAATTTGACGGATTGTATCCATGCCATGACGAAGACGTTTTATTTGAGTATTGATTGTATTTAACGAATATTGAGAGCGAAGTATTGATTTCGATAACATTTGTTTATCCTAAAATAGAAATTATATTTATTTATTTTTGTTAAGAAATACTGGAATATTCTTAGATCTAAGAGGAACTATTATTCGAACATAGGTTTGACAGAATAGTCAAACTTCACAAGTAATCAATGTTCATCTAAAGATTATGATCATCAAAAAACTTTGCATTGACTAGTTTACTCAATATCTAAAGATTATTTTTATTTAAGAACTTTACACTCATCATAGTATAGAAACAAGTTTACTACTTCGGAGATAGTAGATTTATAGGGTCGGTTTTAAATGTATGTTCAAGTGTTTTTCAAAAATCTGATTTTCAACATGATATTTTACATGAAGGGATATTTCGAGCTTGACCACAGCTCTAGTCCCAAAGGATATAGGGTGATATCCTTCGTATAAAAGTCACCTTTTCTTTCAGGCTGTAATTAGCGCAAAGCGCTCAAAAACTTTCGCCTTAAACTGGTTTCGCCATTTGTAAAAAAACAACAGTACTTTTTACAGCAATAAACTAAAGATTCAAAATATTCTTAAAGTTCTGCATAATTTCGATTTACCAGCTTCTTCCTCAATAGACACACAGGCTTCAGTATATATTCTAGTATTCGATAATCACTTGGGTGCTGATTTTGAAAAGGAAATTCTTTATTTTCAACTTTAAAAATATATACATATCCACATCTCACTACAAAAGCATCCATTGAATATATTCGAAAAATTAATTTCGATCAACTACCCAAAGCCCTAAAATCTGATTTAACACTTACATGATCAAATAATTCGAAATAGAGCGTGCCTTGTGGAAATGGTTTCGGATTCATTAGCCATGATGCACTACTAATCGAATTAGCAGTTCTTGCTTGAAGTTCATTAACAATAGTGTCAGCTAAATTACAGTAAAAAGTAATATAACGAAGAAGAATATCTTCAAGTTTTGATGATTCTTCATTTTTCATTGATGATTTAGTTGGTGTACATAATATTACAATTGTTTTCAAATCAATACTCTGCAAAAATAAATTCTAACTATCATTGATCAAAATTTGAATTCGTATTATCTTACTTTTAATTTTAATAAATATTCTAGATTTGTTTTATTTGTAGATAAATTAACAAGAATTTTTCCAACAGACAATGTTTCATCGCTATTTTCAAATGCTGATTTAACTATTAAATCCAAATCATCAATATTTTTCATGAATTCATCATGAAGATATTCAAGAACAGACATATTGATCAATAGATTTAATCCATTAAGGCGTAAAAGCGAATTCAATGGTGCTGTACGACATAGATTAATTACAATCGTAACGATATCCTAAATAATCATCGATAAATATTCATTCATGAAAAAAAAATCAAAGAATATCGTACCGAGAAAAAAGTTATCGTATAATCATTTAAAGCCAGATTATTCATCGCTAGAAGAATTTTATTTTTCGTTGTTTCATTATTGGTTGCTGAAAGAATATCTCGGAGACGACCGATGCAACCAGCATTTGCTAAATTGACTTGACCTAAATATGCGAAATAGGAAAAAAAACATTGTTCCCTACAAAAAAAACCAAACGCTTACTTTCTGTAAATGTTGCTGAATTTGCGATGTTTGTTAAAATGCGATGTAAACGTTCAGTGTCATTATTGGTTGTATCAAGAAATTGAGTTAGCACAAAAGCCTGTTCGGCTGTTAGTGGAATACAGCCACCCGGAATATCGACTGCAATCGTGGCACCTTTTTTGTTTTTGATTTTTATTTCAAAACAATATAGAAATAAAAACAACTTACCATCACTTTGAAATCTAATTGATTTGGAATCAACATCGTTATTGTCGGATGAAGAATTTATATCGGTATATTGTTGATCACGACGAGATGCTAACGACGAAAGAAATGAAGACAGTGATACAAAAATATGTTATACTATTGAAAGTGAGTACGATGATTTACAATATAGTTTTCGTCGATGACGTATATAAAGTAATAAAGCTATGCTACTACAAACACCGACAGAAAGAGCCAAACCAAGATAAATATTTTGTCGATGAGACATGGTAACAAGTAACGATACCCGAAAGAATTACTGACCATTGTGAAGATATCCCTATTGAAAAAAACAAACAAGCAAACAGATTCGTTGTTCCATGGATTACCGATTCGAATAGATATTTAAAGGAGGAAAAAGCGTATATATTTTTGTTTAGCCCTTTAAACTTATTTATATAGATGTCGTAAGTCAACATATGAAAAGCTTTGCAAGAAAAATTAATCCTGCCGATATGAAATGCAAATGTTGTTCAAATTTCCAATTATTCCATCATCTATCTATTTAGTTTGACATTAGATTTCCTTGGCTATATTTTACCGAGTTTGTTTTATTTCATGGGTATTCTATTGATAGATTTTAAATTAAAAAAAATACAGTTCACATATGGAATATGAACGGACATAAAAACATCTACTTTTGATTAAACGATAAAACAAAAGCGTAGCTTGGTTAATGGACAGATGAATGCGTAAATTTTATATGATATATACTTACAGGTTAAGAACATAGAAAAAGAAGCATAAATAAAACGTATAACCAGAACCAACATCGTAGCCACACTAATCGATACTTGGGAATACATAATGGAGTATTTAGGCGTCAAAGTCTTGCAATGTATGTGAATAGGAAACATGAATATATTCAATATAGTAATTAAATATTACTGAAATTCTTTTCTATATCTTTCTCTCAATGGCTCATAGATTTGTAAAAGATTCTTGAACTTTTCTATTCCGAACGAGTTAGCAAGATATCATATTGCAAATAATTTAATCATTTGCCGTCACAATTATAAATGAAAATTTATCTTTTATGTTGTTTAATAATAAGAGTATTTCATTGAAACAATAAATTTAAAACGAAAGATATTCAATACACATTAATGGTCTGAACTAAACGCGAAAAGAATTGAGTAACTTTGCCAATAGTCTTCATAATAGGCTTATAGTTACTATTCGTTTGAAAACATTTATATCATTCATTTACTGGAAAAGAAAATTTTCTATAAAATGAATTTTTTTTTATCATTTAGATGATACGAATCGACTAACGCCCTCTTCCTTACCTTCTGTTGCCTACGTCAACGTGTAGTTGTCATATCAAACCAATCTGCGTTCGCTTTATGTTGTTGTTGTATGACATTGATGAGATATCATTTTACTCGATGATTCCTATCAATTGATTCCCAATAGTTATTATTTTTCATAGTTTAAATCATTTTTATCAATTATTTTTCTTATGTAACTCTCTACCACAATCTGACCAACATGACAAACGATGCTGTTAATTTTATTTAAACTTTAAATAACTATATTTTCTACTTCATAATTCTAATTTAACACATGAATATACTGAAAGAATCTCTATTTTCTTCTTCAAAATCAACTTCTCAAACAAAATCTAAAAGAACTCGACAGAATAATTCAAGAACCAATAAATTTCTCGAAGAGAACAACAATTCTTTAAACGAACCACTCTTATCGTCATCTGAAATAGGTGATAATAGTATTCAATTAGGAATTATTCATACAGACGATGAAGAAGATGATGGAAAAAAATTAAATAGTCGACATATTGTACGTTCTCGTAATATAAAACAACCATCAATATCAGCAGCGCATGGTGGTGGTTCGGTTGTTATTGTTGAAAAACCTATTCGACCAAATGAAACTATTCAAGCATTCGCCATTCGATATCGAGTTCCAGTGAGTTTTCTAATCTTTATTTTTATATTTAGTAAAATATAAACGATAATTACTCGTTATCTTGTTAGGTATCTCAATTAAAACGTATAAATAATCTACAAAATGATCAAGATTTTTATGCTCTTACATATTGTCGAGTACCTGTACGTCGATTTGGTTTACTTCATGAGTCATCATCACCATCCATCGTTGTTAATTTAAATGATCCATCGACAACAAATACATCCTCGTCATCGATAACGCATTTATCGCAACAAAATCATCTTGCTTTTTTAAAAGCTATGGATCATGATTTAGCAGCAATGCGTACGAAAGTTGAACAATTAATTGAAACACCTACAGCAACATTAATATCTGATCAGCCAACAACGAAAATGATGATACGTTCAACAGCAAAGCCTATCAGTGAATTAAATTGTGATGGTGCCGATTGTGGCTGTAAATTATGGCATATTGTTACAGTTATTATTCTTATTGCACTTCTTATTCCACTTTATTATGTTTATGTTTATATTAAACATCCACCTCTCAAAACAGATCATTTTCCATAACCAATCTATTTAACTTTTTTTTTTATTCATATAAGGTGTCTTTTGTTCTCTGTTTTCAATTTTGCGGGATTTTTTTCTTTATCCTTTGTTATTAATCCACAGCAATACCAATGATAAAATACGTGGTTGTTTATCTATGAGTTTAAGATGTTATAGAAAAAGAAAATAATAGTTCTCCTTTATCTTTCAATGTTTTGGATTCAGATCTTCCAATAAAATTTATGTGAAATGTCTCGTCTTTTTTCTTATGTTAATCAATAAGAAAAATCTCGAGAGATGAGACATACACTCAATAAATGACTAGACTCGATTTTTATGACTTTTGAAAAGAGATTATTTTAAACATCTTCATGTAAATTTTTCAAACGAAAAAAGTCACTCATGAACTTGAGGTTTGTTGTTCGTCTCTTGCATAGGTATTGCCTAAGCAAATACAGCTGTTCATAAGAAAATAACTTGCATATTTTGCTTTGCGGATAATTATTTCCATATAACTACATCTACTTGCGTTGTTTCATGTCTTAAAAAGTATTTCATCGAGCCGTCCGTCATGTAAAATGTAACTTATTCTTCTCTTTTAAAAAAAATATTATACAACAGCATCTCGCATTCTTAGACAATTTATTACAAAACTAATATTTACTTTTTAAAATTGTTTGATGATCGTATTTTCAGTTTTATTTTTCGTTTATGAAGAAGACGTGTCCATTAATGTTTGATCGTGTTGTGTAGATGCTAGTCTTTTTTTGAACAATCTATAGATCTAGTAAGTATCTTCTTCTTTTAGTATGAAATATACTGAGAGAAAATAATCGATCAATAGTACTTTGAAATACCATTGAGAATTTTTCGAAAAAATATATTTCAATATCAACAAAGTGGCTCGACCATGAATGTAAGTGGTCATCTGAAATTAGAAAATGAGGATAAAAGCAAATTTTCTTACTCATTACTACTGCCATAATTGTATTGAATGAAATTAAAGAGTTACTTAGTAAAAACGGCGGAGTATGTGTCTATTAATTCAAGTCCTTAACAGTGGCGGATTTAGGGGGGGGGG